CCTATGGCGGTGAGAGTACAGGTACTAATTACATTTGCTAATTGTATTTTAAGAATAGAATTCAACAGACATGCAGGACAACAATCCAAACCAACACAAAATATCACAATGATACCGACCAGCGTATCCTATTCAAAGGCAACTAAGATAACTTATGAAATTGATGACGTAAGGAGTTGAGGCGGAGTTTGTTGCCGAGGGGTTGGTTTAACGCGAACATATCGAAGACAGGGGTTGCTGAATGGGGTCTTCCCGACAAAAAGACACCGACAAACGTGGATAGAGGCTAAGTCGAAAGGGGGGGATACGGCACCCCTTTAAATACAGCACCCCGGGTTGGTTTTAACCTTTTTAGGTATAACGCGGTAAGTCGAAACACCCTTACTGGGGCCACCCTAGTGGGGGCCACCCATTTCCCATACAAAATTAACGATTTCGCATATTTATATTTAATTTAAGAAAATAAATAAAAATGTACGGTTTTTAATTTTAAATAGAATATTATATTTTTATTATATATAAAAATTGAAAAAACGTTAGGGCTAATATCTGTGGTGAAATGAGTATAAGAGTATACATTAATAGTTATATATATAAATTTATATATAAAGCTGTTAAGGGATATTATTGCTTATAATTTTACCAATTAATATATTATAAATGTAAAATATATATTGTTAAATACGTAATATTTTAATATAACTTTTATATTAAATATGAAATATATAACCTATTTATTCAAAAAGTTATAAACGTTTATAAGGTTTTATAATAATTTAATAAAATTCTTATATAAAATTAAATATTAAACTTTTTAAATAAATAAGTTATATATTTCATATTTAATTTAAAAGTTATATTAAAACGGTCTTTATTTAATAATATTAATTTTATATTTATAATATATTAATTGGTAAAATTATAAGCAATAATATCCCTTAATAACTTTATATATAAATTTGTATGTATAACTGTTAGTGTATACTCTTATATTCATTTCATTACAGATATTAGCCCTAACGTTTTTTCAATTTTTATATATAATAAAAATATAATATTTTATTTAAAATTAAAGACCGTATATTTTTATTTATTTTTTTGAATTAAATATAAATATGCGAAATCGTTAATTTTGTATGGGAAATGGGTGGCCCCCATTAAGGTGGCCCCAGTAAAGGTGTTTCGATTTATATTATAAGGAAAAAGGTAAATTATTAATATATAATTGATTAAAAAATATTTAATTGCCATTTTAAATATAGCTTATTTAAATTAATTAATAAAATTAAGTTATTAATTTTAATTAAATTTAATTTTATTATTAATTTTTTTTAATACGATGAATATTTTTTATTTAAATAAAAATATTATTTAAGTTTAAGTTAATTTTAATCCGTTTTACGAGTTTTAACCAAGTTATTAATTATTTTAAATTATTACATTTAATTTAAAAGGTAATTAATTAATATAAATATATATTTATACTTTTTTTTACTTTTTTAAAAATAAATCGTTTAATTAATTTATTAAATTTAATTCGAAAATATTTTTATGCGACTTTAATAATATCACGTGATTTTTTAAAAGTAACCATTTAATTAAAAAGCTTATTATCGATAAAAATCTCCGAAATTAAAACATTTTAAAATTTTTATAAAATAAAATAAAATCGGAAAATTATTATACGAAATAAGCTTTAATAATTAATTCGCGGTTTTTAATTTATTTAATAAATGTAAATTTTAAAATAATTTAATTAAAAGTAACTTTTTATAATAATATACTTTTACGTACGGTTTAAATAATTTTTTTAAAAATTAATTAATTATATATAATATTATAAAGTATATTAATAAAAATAAAAGCTTTTAATTAATTAAATAAATAAAAATAAAAATATAAAAAAGTTTTTTTAAAAATACATCGAATTTATTTTAAAAAGTGTAAAGCCTTGGTAAAACCTTATTGTATAATTGGTTAACTTATTCTTGTTATTACCGGGGTGCTGTCAGATTAGTCAGCCATGTCAGGTGACCTGAAAATCCCTAGTCTCATGTAAAATAGCGGTGTAACACACGTTCCCACGATTTTACCTCGATCAATGAGATGACCAGGAATATGATGAATTAGACCTCATATAACGCCTATTCAGTACGTATTAGTTGTGTGACAGGTGCCGTATCTAAGGAGGTGCCGTATCCCCCCCTTCGACTTAAGTGGTTCCCCATACATCCGGGTGAAAGGTTAATACGTTTTAGTTCGGTTGCCTTAATCGACTATTCAAGGCTTAAGAGTTTCCATATCATAGTACATACGGCAATATCCGTCTATGAACTCCACCCCAGACGACCGAAGGGAAGAAGGTTTTGGATCTAATAGGTTACTTCATCCATCACGATGACGCCAATGGCAGCGAATTGATGTTTTAGAATGTTGTGGGACTGTCGCAGAGGAATGAGCTGTAGTACCTAAGTAAGGTAGTACCTAAGTCGGAGGGGGGGGATACGGACCCCCCTTAGATACGGACCTCCTGCAAGATGAGCCAATCATATTTTAAGGTTTTATTAGGGGCCTACTTTTTTTCACGTAAATTTGATGTATTTTTTTTTTAATATTTTCTTTTCTATTTTTATATTTTATTTTATTTTTGTTGGGATAACGGTCACGTGACCTCGTCACATGACCAGGGTTATGCCCATACACACCGCCCACGCACAGCCCACGCATCTGTACAATAGATATCTTTCCCCACTCGGGGGAACCCCTCCTCTCTTACCTTAGAACAACCAATCAGAACACGATCGTTATTTGCATTCCCTTTCATATTATTACGTAATACATAGTCAATCCAACAATTTTTAACCAATTAAATTTTTTATTTTAATATTATTATAAAAATAATTTTTTAATTCGGTGGTTATTTTTAAATGTTACGTGATATTTTTAAAATTATATAAAAATATTTTTAGCTTAAACTTAATAAATTAATTAAAAAACGTATTTTTAAAAATAAAATAAAATATTAACGTATATGTATGTTAATTGGTTATGGTTTAAGTCGAATGCGATAGTTTAAAATAACTAGTGGCTCGGTTAAAGCCCGGGAAGCGGGTTAAAATTAATTTAAGCTTTAATAATAAAAGAGCTAATAAAGAGCTTAAGCTTAATCGGGAGTATGTTATGTTTAAAATGGTAAATAAAAATCTTTTAACCAATTGTAAGCTAAGAATTTAGCGTTTTTCCTGTAATGTATTACGCTAGGCCTAAAAGGGATAAAATCTACCTATTTTTGATCGGGGGTCCGTATCTAAGGGGGGTCCGTATCCCCCCCCTCCGACTTAAAGGTTAAACATGTTGATAGTCTATGTAGGGAAGACAGAAATATTCTCCGATCTTTAGCGTACATCGCAAATGCCCAGGCGTCTAGAATAAGGACAAGGTTGATTAATTTAAGATTTTGATACACGTGTGATAGGTAGGTGTTGATATTAGATGGGTACCAGAACCCTACGGTGATCCATTAAAGTAAACCTGGTACGGTAATTCGTTTCCAAAGCTAAAATAGAATCTGATAACCCTACCTAGGTACGATCCATCTTGGCGTTAGCTTCATACACTATGTTTGCTAACCAGGTTCTTGTGGAAACTTTGGAATAAGGCAACGTCAATATCCCTTTTCAATACCCTGGGTTAGAGTAATTTTTACTTGGTCTAATGTGATCAGGCAACATAGGTACGTATATAATAATGATGGCTCCTAAATGGATACAATATTACTGGCAGAGTTCCTATTCGCCCCTAAGGGGTTCTCCTATTGTAAGCCGTCGGGAGATGGCTCCCTACATAGGCTAGGCTACAGTCGTAGGAAGGTGGTTGGCCAAATTTCGGTAGAAATTTGAGCAACACACTGGAACTAATTAACTAATTGCGAGGAACAAATGTTCCCCAACCGATTGGGTCGTGGAATTGTTACATCTGTACCTAATAGCGTACAACCTCTCGAGGGCTGGTGAGACAACACTGTCGGTTTTCTGGCCGGATTCTTGTAAAACCGAGACGCAGTGTACTGATAGGACTCATGGTTTCATCCCAACAAGAGGGTAACTTCCGCACGAGTCCAGGATGGGCTATGGAATGTGAATATCTTCGGTCTGCCCGTTGTATAGAACAAACCGGGCGGTTTGTATGCACAAGGCAAACAGCAGAAATTGGGTATCATTGGCAAGGCTACAGCTCAGTAAAGGCTGTGGCGCGTATCGTAGGTTAATATTATACGAGTATTTCGATTCGGATATGTATTGCTGACGATTGCAACCATACTAGCAGGCTCATTAGGCCGGAATGCCTTAGTACAACGTTTATACAAATAATATATGCATGGGTGAGCTAATTTGGGCTAGCACTACAGCCTAATTCCTGGTATGTATTAGTCCTAACTCTCCCAATCCATAGTAAGACCAACTCATAGAGACTAGAATAGCGATATTGCCTTTGTTTAATTACTAGTCTATCGCTGGGCCGTCTTCTAAGGTTGATAGACATACAAAATACATACTTCACGTCTACGATACAGACTTGTGTCTCTTTCGTAGCCTGCTCCTAGTGTAGTTACTAGTTATCTAGCCTTTAATTGTCCTGAATAGCTTCAAAAGGAGACAATCAGGTTTTTTGATGTAGTAAAATAGCTCTCAGCTTCAAGGGACTAACCCGAGCGCTGTGGCATGGATCCCCATGTAGAGGGACCTTTGGTGGAGTTTGATATGTATTATTCAACTTCATGTCTATATTCATGTATATAGAGTTGTCGTCTATAAGCTATAATAATATAGCAAATAAGACTCCATTGATACCCGTGCGTTGCTTATATCAGCTTGTGCGACCTTGAAGATATGGAGATAATATCTCAAAAGGTCGACGTGCAGCTTAACTTCAAACGGAACAATAGTTCGATCCGGAACAACTATAACAGCTAACAGCCACACCGTCGAGTTTGAGTGTCGTGGAAACTTCCTTCAATTCTGTCCCCAACTTACATGGCTCCCCTAGTCTTCTATAAGGTGGAAGACATACATAGATATTTCCAAAGGTACTATTGAAAATCGCAATCATGTCATAGGTAAAACTATACTATCTAACCTAGGTAGGTACCTATGGACTCGATAAATCTATCATAACCCGCCGTCGTCTATTCTTAACCCGTTATCGTTAGTTTAAGTCGTGGCTAGCCTACGCGTATGCACGACACTTAACCCGTCTCTATCTCTATTAGGGGCCGGGTTAATAAATTATGCTACCGCCAACAAGAGGACGAATTCAATCAACCCACGATATAGAAAGGGGAGAAATGACGTCGGATCTGGAGTCTGGTAATTGAAGAAGACATCTATTGTTCCGAGCCCACCAGAAGTAGTATGACCACCTCATAAGGTCTCGTGGCTCAGGACGAGTCTTACGCCAAAGATGTCTCCCTTTTTTCCCTGCGGTCGCAAGATCAATATTCCCATCCATTAGGTATACAGGATGGTCAGGCTCGATATCGTCCGATCCGCGAACGCGGCACTTGCGAACGCGGCGACAAAGCCGTATGTGGCTGTTGTGGCTGGCGGCACGGCGGGAATTGGTGAGAGTGCGGTGCGGGCACTCGCCGCAACGTTCGCGGATCGCGGGGATCGAGAGGATGATGTGCTTCGCGTACATATTGTCGGTAGGAATGAAGAGGCCGGACGCAAGATCGTTGCTGAATGCTCGGAAATGTGCCCACAGGGGATGTTCCGATTTCATAAGGGCGACATGTCGCTTCTGAGGGAGGTCGATCGCGTCTGCGCTGATATTACTCGAACCGAGCAGCAAGAGGCCAGCTCGAGAGGTGGAGTGGCGAAGATTGACTTATTGGTGAATTGTCAGGGAGTCTTGTCTCTCACGACTGAAGGTACTCACTCCTTGAGCCCCATAGACACTTGAAATTCAGAAACTCAAAAGAAACACGCATGTAATGGACTTAGTTAGCTAACACGGGAAATAGATACCAAGGAAGGCATCGACAAGTACTACAGCCTGCTTTACTATTCGCGGGCGCGCTTCGTGGAAAGACTACTTCCACTCCTGACCGCATCTCCCGGAGCCGGTCATGTCGTCTCGGTACTCAATGCAAGCATAAAGGAAGCTCTAGTACTCGACGACCTCGCGTTGCGAAACCCGAAGAACCAGAAGTTTCAGACTGCCTTCGCGCAACTAGTCAGCTTGACCAACATCTTCTTCGAAGAAGTCGCGCGTCGCAACCCAGGCCGGATAGCTCTTTGCCACCAATACCCGGGCTACGTGCCTACCGACATTGCGTCGAAGAGCAACTTCCCCTGGTGGCTCAAGTTCTTGCTAACCTACATCGGCAACCCCTTATTCAGGCCTTGGTGGGTACCGTTCGAAGAATGCGGGCAGCGCATCTTGTTCATGGCTTCGCCAGCGAGGTTCCCGGCGCGAAGACCTGAAGATGTAAGGGACAGCACGGAAACACCGTTGGGAAGCGTGGACGGCGTTGAGCCGGCCGAGGGCGTGGATGGAGACGTCGGAAGCGGGGCGTATAGGGTGAATAAGGACGGCGACACGTTTCCTCAGGGAAAAGAATATGGCAAGGTTCGCGAGAATGGAACTGCGGAGAAGGTCTATCAGCATACTATGGCCGTATTCGCAGAGATCGAGGCCGGTGGAGTGTTCAAAGGCTGAACTTGGTTCGCAGTATGGTCTTTTCCGCTTTCGTTTTTCTGTTCTTGAATACCTAATCTGCTCGGGGACTGACTGTTTGACAGCATGTATTTACATAGTATTAACATAGTACATTTCTTGAAATGTAAGTCGCTCGTAGGAACCAACTGTTATCCATCGCTTTGGCGACTATAGCCACTAACAGAATACGCTGTTAGAATAATATGATATTACTTAGGTCCTAGAGCGCAATCAAGGAAGTGGACGATCTACCGCGAATCCGCGTTAGCGCCAATAACCTCATCTCGGAACTCTGTTCCTAACTACGAGTAATTTCTTGTCCGTTATATGATTGGCTAGTATGATAGTCAATCGAACAACCCACCTTACGTCGTTTTCCAATAGTAGATCATTCCAGAGTGATTGAAAAGCTGGAATATGTGAAAGAAGACACATATGTATCGGAAGAATCAGAGCTGATATACGGCAAACGCGCGTAGGCCAAGTACATTTATCAAATCAAAAGGGAGCTTGCAATAGCTGCAGAACGTGAGGGGTCGAAAAATATTACCATTTAATCCTACGTTCTTGATACTTACCTTGGCTGGATGGTTTAATCGATCCGTGTCTTCCGAGGGCTATGAGGCAGAAGCTCGATTGATTGCGTAAGTAACGGGTGATAAGCCCCAGCTCAATGTTCGTTTATTAATGGAAGTAGTATATGAATATATTTTCAGCTGGTTATCAGGTATTAATCTTGGTTTGATGGACACCTTCGGGATGACATCATATCATTAAATATCATGATTTATAACCTTGTATCACAATATATGCATGGACCGTATGCATATTCTCTTCCCTGAAGAAACTTTTCAAGAATACATGTAACTACTTAACTACATAGGTAGGTTACCTTAGTTGTCGAACTGAAGTGATTCTAATTGGTATACCAAATGAAATAAGACAGAAGGTTAACCACGAGCTATTCAATATAGAAATATCAGTAGCTTATATGGAATATAATGCTCAACTTGAGCTTGTAGTATAATGTTATCTTTTGTGGAGATACGGAATCTCCAACTGGGATTTTACATGTGAACAAGCTGCAAAGTCCCTAATGGTTACAGACCCTCTACCGAGCACCTGGGTTAATGCGTAGTGGGGGAAATGGTAGATTTCAGGAGGCTTGACCCACAGAGAGAGCTAGCTACATGGCGCCAACGACTGCACATATTTTACTTGGAATCCCCTACACTTTAACATACCCATTCTTCTAACACCAAGGCCTACCTTGGTCAGTTGGGTAACCCCCCTTCCCCTTCAGGCAACAACACCCAGTAACGTTAAAAGGCCAGGTAAATTTTAATAAAAGGCCAACCCATCCACTTTCCACATGAAATAAGAGCTAAAACCTATAACCCACCTAATTTATATTAAGATTAACTTAAATCCTTAACAATTTTAAAATATATACCGGTTATATATATTATAATATAATAATTAATTAAATAAAAATAATATTAAAATTATTTCCATTATTAATTATTAATTTATTTATAATTAAATTAAATATATATTTATAAACTTTTAAATTAATATATTTATATAATTAATTATTTATAATATTTAACTTATTTAACTTACTTAGCTTACTTAATTTACTTAGTTTATTTAACTTATTTAACTTTAATAAGTTTTATATAATTAATTAAGGTAATAATACGGTAATTAAAACTATTAATTTAATTAATTATATTAATTTAATTATTGATTTAACTACTTTATAAATCGTTAAAATAATATAATAAATGCTTGTTATTGTTGAATTATAAGCTGTTAAAGCTATTAAAAAGGTTTTAAAGATTATTATTAATAACCTTATAACCCGTAAAGATTAAATATCATACCCGGCTTTATTAACGCTAACGTTAAAAATAAAAGGATTATATATTATTATATATATTGTTATTAAAGCGATTATATTAAAGCTATTATAAAAGCTAATATTTATTAACTTATCGTATTTAATTAATTTTATTAATTTTAAATTAACGTAATTAAATTAATAATAATAACCTTTTATTAATTTACCTTTATTTTATACTTTTATCAACATTAAATAAGTTTTATACTTAAGGTTAAAGCTTTATCGTATAAAGGTATTTAATAATTATTATAATTAATTTACCTTAAAAATTAATTATAAAACCTTAAGGTTATATTAAACTCGTATTTTTCGAAATTAATAAAAACGATTTTATTTAAATTATATTACAACGCCTTAAAAGGTAAGCTTTCAAGGTGGACCTTTCAACGCTTATAACCTTAAAAAGGCTTAAAATCTTAAATCTTTAAATCCCTTACCTTATCATTGTTTAAATTTAAAACATTGTCGATATAAAGTTATTAATACCTCTTAATATTAATTATTTTAAAGGCTTAAAACTTAACCAAATTTAATTAATCTCTTTTAACACGTAATAAATAAAAAAATACGTATTTATAAAGTAGATTTTATTACTTTATAAATAAACCCTTATAAGGTAATTATAAAATATTATTATTACGTTAAATTAAATAATCTTAATGCGTTAACTTATATTACCTTTATATTTACTTTAAAACCTTAAGTAATATACAATATAATACGTTGTAAAATATCCTTATTTAATAATATTTAAAAAAGTTTTAAAATTTAATTATTTAAAGCTTTAATTTATATACAACCTTATAATTTACATAAACATTATATATTAAAATTACAATAATAATATTTAATATAACATTTTAAATACTTATATATTACCTTAAATCAATTAATAACGATTATATTATAATTACATATTTAAGATATAATAAATCAATAATATTAATTACACCAAAAAAAATAATATTAAATCAAATAATTAATAAGCATTATACAAAAAATTAATTAATAAATAAAACTTGAAAATTACAATTATTTTTAAAAAAAAGATATAAAACTATAAAAAATATTAAAAATAAATATTTATACGCCTCACCGCTTTCCTAATAAAAGAAATAATAAATTGGTAAAAAACTTTATTTTAACTTATAAACTTTATAATTAATTAATCTTATTTAAAAGATTATAATATTTTTTAATATTAAAAATTAAAAATGTTATAATCATATATACCTCCACTTAAAATAACTATATTATAACATTTTACTATATTTAACCTTAAAATATAATTGCAATAATAAAAACAAATATTAAAAAATTATTTCTAATTAAATTCAAGCCTTTTATTAACTTAATTTACTTTAAAAAAAAGAAATATCACTTACATATTTAACGTTAATATTACTTTTTTAATAAAGCTTACATAACCTAAAATATCTTCTTTATATTTGCGTAAACAATAACTTTCCAAACCTTTATAAAGCCTTTTTAATTATTAAATTAATCTTTAATATTAAAAGCTAGCTTTAAAAGTTATAAAAAAAAGGTTTTAACCTTAATATCTACGGTATTTTTATCGGTTTTAAGATTATTTTTAATCTTTTTAAAGTCTTTATTAATTTTGTTAATTTTATTAACTTTATCGTTAATAAATCCTTTATATAAAAAGAGATTTAAATTAAGTTAATTATTACTTATAATAATTTTATTATTAATAACCCGTTTTTTATTAATTTTAATTAATAAATTATTTATTATTATTATTAGTTAAATCCATTTTTTAATAATATAATAAACAACGTTTTTTATAATATATTACATATATAATTGTTATAATAATAATATAAATGTTGGTAGGTATATATGTAAATAAAAATAATAATAATAACGATAAAATAATAATAAATAAATTAATGGTATTAAAACTAATATATTAAAATATTTAAAGAAAAAAGAATTTATTTAAGGTTAATTAAGTATAATATGTTTTTATATTTTAATAATAGTGGATATTCGATCTTTTTATTTAGTAAAGTTAGGTATTTTTTTTTTCTTTATTGGCAATAAAAATACCTTATTATTAATAAAATATCTTTATATTAATATTATATAATTATTATTTATTTTATTTTTTTTTATAATTAATTAATTATAAAATATAATTAAATAAATAAAATTTTAAGATTTATACTAACATATATTTATATTAATTTAGATATATACCATTACACATTTGTGATTTTATATATCCGTAATTGCATATATTTGTGACAGTTAAAAAATAAAATTGTAATAATTTAAATTAAAAATTATTTTATAAATAAAATTACGTTAGTATATATTATACTATTCTATTTTTAGTATATTCCTTCTTACTTCCTATAATAACTTATGTTTAAATTAATATTAATAATTAGTTTTAATAATTTATTATTATATTAATTTAATATTATTCCTAATTTCTTCGCGTTTCACTTACCTTTTCAAATATAAATCAATTTAATTATTTTTTACTAATATCTTTATAACTTTATTTAAAAACGCCTTTATTATTATATTTACCAAATTGCAACTACTATATATCCATCAGATATCATCAATTTTCCTATTTTTATATAATTATTTTAAGGTTATAAAATTAATTATTAATCTCTTTTTATTGGTATTATTTATTTAAATAAAATATTAATATAATAAAAAAAAATCTATGTATAAAATAAAAAAATTATTAAGAGGTTTAATTAATTTAAAATAATATTAATAATATTATAAATAATATAGCCTATATTAAATCCTTATACCATTTTGTAAATTTTATTAGTAAATACATTATACATAACGCATTTATATTTAATAAACAATTAATAAATAATATTACTAGTAAATTATATTTTATTATTATAATTTATAGGTTTTTTATTATTAAATACCATAATATAATCAATTTAAAAGTTTATATCCTTATTATTAACAAATAAACCGTTTATAAAAACGTATAAGTGTAGGTTTTAAAAGTTTAACTTTATATATTTAAGGCCTTAATCTTTATAATTTACCTACCATTTAATTTTTACATTAAAGGCTTTAATTTCCTTTAATTTAGATTCTATATATTACACTACCATAAAATAGTTAAAAACTACTTTAAATTAATAAATAAACGTAATATAAATATCTTTTATATATTATTTTATAAATCTTTTAATTATATTAGATATTTTTAAGTTTAATTTTTCCAACTTTTTCGTTTATCCTTTTTAAATAATAGA